GTTGTGATTTGAGAACATGGCTTCTTTGAATGATGGCAAGTTATTTCAAAGAGTTATTTTGTTGATCCTGAAGGACATTTCGAGCCATTGGATAGGCCTTGCTGTAATCAGCTGAGCAGGCCGTTGAAGGATGTAATACGTGATCACAGAATACCAGCAATGAAACGGTGTAAACGGTAATATTGAATACATTAGATGCCATCTATTGCAAATACCCTTTACTTTCGTTCAGTCAATGTTGTTTAATGTCTTTGTAGGGAAGAAAACAGGGTATGAATGACGAGGTGAGTCTGAATAAGTGAGTCATATGCACTTTGTACTGGTTCACTTATTCAGATTCCTCTTCTTTAACAGTCCTAGTGAAAAGTTTAGATCCTATTAAGTAAAACCAGACAGCTGCATTCAAACAGCATAAGCATCAGTATGAGGTTGATTTCCAGTGTATAAAATGAAATTGGCTGGTGTGTTCAGCAGATTCATTAATGAGTGTAGTGTGGTTGTCAAGGACCTGCTGAGATGTACGATGTGCAGTGCCTGCATACTTCCGCCCTGATTATGTTCCAGCCCTTACAGGTGTTAGCTTTTCCTGTCCATTGTTTACACCTCTTCCAAAAGATGGCTTGTATTTTGATATTTGTTTATTGCATTTAACTAAAACACACACACACTCTCATCATTTTGTATTTAGTGGTAGAAGGACCACTTCCCTAAAAAGACATTAAACAACATAGGACGTAAAGGCTATGATTAAAATAAATAAAAATTAAATGCTATAGCAGCCAGCAGGTGTCTTAATTTACTTTGGTTAAGTTCTGAACTCTGAACTTCGGGGACTTTCTGTTTTGCCATTTGCTGCTGCCTTGATGGCACATGTTGGCCCCAGCGCTGGCATGCCTGCCACTGGGAGAGGACGTGGATTATTATGCGTGAATCCTAGCAGGACCGGCCCCCTTTAGCTCCTCCCCCCCCCCCCCCCCCTGCTGCTGTAGTGGCACTCAGTGTTTTTGTGGGTGCCCTTGTAAGAGGGATCCATTAAACCGAGGCCACGCGTGTTAACCAGCAGCTGGGCTGGCCTCCCTGCGCTGCATAGAGCACGTTTCCTGAGCTGCCCACTCTCATGGGCTCCACACGCCAGCGTGTTTCCAGGCTCGGCTGGTCAGATCTGGGTCGCCGAGCAGGAGATGGAGCAGGGAAAGAGCATATGAACAGGCCCTCTGTTTCACTGTGGGCAGTTGTGCTATTTTGTTCTGGTTTTGGCCACTTTAAACTCTTATCTTCCCTTTCGGATAAAGGGGTCAATGCCCTGTTTCACCTCCATCCTTTGGCCCTGTAAACAGTGGAGTCGTCCCACTGTGCGTTTAAGCCCTCACTCCCCGTGCTCGGGTCCCTTTCCTTCCCAATATATGAGATTCTACATTATAACTACATTATAATCTAATATTTAGATCGGTATCTGCAACGGTCCAGACCTGTTGGACAGATCAGGAATCGGACATATGTGACCGATGCACATCCGATACTTCCTTATTTAGTCTTCGGCAGTTGGTAAAAAGAGAGTTCCTATTTCTTGTGAAATCGATTTGTACAGTCAATCGCAGGACAGCTATGTCCCATTTTGATATGTGTTTTGCAGAATTCAAGCTGAACGCTAACACTGCCTGCAGTGAGGTCATGCGCATACCCTGTGCAGTATGAGGAGCGTAAGAACATCAGATGGTGACTGTCTGGAAGTATTTTATGCTTTTAACAATGACTAGTAGCACAGCGAGCTGCAGAGTTTTGAGAGGTGGAAGCGACGTTTAGTGGAAATTCCCTCTAAACAGGCTGCACGCAACACGAATAATATGGAAAAAAGGCAATGGATGACTTGGGAGTCGCAAGCTCGGGCTGTTCTGCGCACTCACTACAGTTTGTGATACACGAGGGGCTGCGATCGCAGTGAAGTGCAAGTGATGCTGTTGCCAGTGAGAGAAACATTGTGGGGCATTTTAAGCATTTGCCACTTGCGTGTCCTCGCTTGGAAGGTATTCAGATCGAACTGCAAATGCCTCACAAACACTTAAAACAAGATGTACAAATGAGGTGGTACAGTACATTATGTTTGTAAAATATAGATATTTTTACATTTGTATTTACTAGTTTTCTTTAAAATATTAACGTTTTTATATGAAAATATTAAAGTTAAAAAACTCGTATCGGAATCTGTATCAGTATCGGCAGATGTGTATCGGCCCGTCTCTGGTGCTCATGACATACTATGATTTATTTTTCATCCCCTGAAAAGCAGTTTTAGAATCGCCATTAGGCGTTAAAATCTGACATCCATGGTGTCCCCCAGCCTCTCAGCCTTTGACATCTTGATCTTAAATGCTCATAACTGCACATGAGGCGAATGTTGCATTTAATACTACATCTGTTTGGTGTTTCTTTTGAATGATCTCTTTTTGTCTCTTTAGGATATAGAGGCAATAAGGATGAATAGCCACTCATAGTAGCTTATAAACTCACTTTGAATGAACCGGCTGCCTGGGCTCCCTGTATTACATAATGGGATACATTACACAGAATTAGATTTGGAGATTTTGGGATGTGTACTTTAAGTTAAACTGATACTTCATGTTTAAATTATAACAATGAAAGTAAAGTCAGAGTCTATTGTTAATGTTATTCTACCCCATAGTGCCCTGGGGGGGAATGAAAATTATTAATTACTTTTGTTCCTGCTGGCCTGTATTTTTCTTATTGATATTCCACTGCTCTATCACAAAAACCCTGAAAATGCCTTTGAGACGTCAG